TGTCAAAAGACTCTTTGTGGATTCCAAATCACCTTCCTTAATAGCTTTGAGGAGCTCCAAAATACGAGTGCGGTCTAGCAGACATATATTGAAGATTATATTTTGTTATGCCAAAATATGCATACGATCAACAAATCTGGCCACTGCCACCGCACAACATTGTTAATAGAGTAGTATGCTAAAGACTGCTAATTTATTAGGTTGAACAAGTTTAGATTTTGTATAACGACTCCAGCATATGCTTGTCTAATATAGTTCGATTCGTATAATCCATATATGACCAGTTATAATGTGTTTGAATAAGTTAAATCACACATTTCAACATATATATTGTAACGAAGTAAATAAGGTTTGAAAATGATGAAAATCACGAAGGGGAGGACAAAAGAAAAAGGGGGTTGAACTATTATATTGTAAAAAGAAAGACAAGGAGGGAGAGTGAGTGAGAGAGACCTGGCATCTGTCGTGCATCTTGGGGGGCCTGGGGTGCTTGTTGGGGCGTAGGTAATTGGCACACTTGGGCCAAAGTGTTCCAAGCATCTTTAGCCGTAGCCATGTTTCTGATATAAGAAAGCATGAGCGGATCACATGAAATTTGAATAGCATGCAAAGCAGCCACATTCCTCTTACTCCAAGCCTTGAATTCAGCCTCATTTTCCCGTTGAGGAGGTTGTGAGGCTTGTTCCACAACGTCCCACAGATCTCTAACCCACAAATAGTTTTGTACGCAAGCTTTCCAGTTTTCATAATTATATGCTCCAACAAGAACTTGACCAACAATTGCACTCGAACAAACATTATGGGCCTCCATCTGTCAAAAACAAAAATAGAAGAAGATTAAATTTGATTCCCAAGCTTCCTAATTTGCACCTAATAATTAGTATACATATGTGGAATTTCATATAATGAAGTTATTAAAATACTTAACTTACTTACAGGGATAAATAAAAGGAGTACTCTTCCTCAGTTCTTCAGTGGGAAGAGCATGCAGTTGCCAATTAACACTCTATTAACGGGTGTTTTGGCTCAATGATTTCTCTTCGGAGTTGAATTGCTGAATGTTATCAAGACGGGACATTGGGTTTATTATGCCAGAATGATTTAAGGGGTGGACTATGATTCCTTACTTACCAATGTCAAGATGTGAATGGTACAATTAAGTCTACTGATTATATTATTAATTCTTTAAAAGGGTATGCTTGCTAAGGAGGAATGGAATACCCCTTCTAAGATCTCTTTAAAAATTTGTTTACGTCACGAAAGGGTCATTCCCGAATAATGGTGAATAGTCAATACCAAAAGGGTTTCAGTAATGGTTATTTTGAATATGAAGGAATCATAAAATTATTTTTAAATAAATTTAAAAATTATTATTTGCATAATATAAATTTTTTTTTCATTTTTCACATTTTTTTAGGATAGTCTTTAATTATAGTATGATTAGAATTATTTAATTTTAATTAAACTAGTATATCTTATTAAAATAATATTTGAATTTAATTAGATTAAAATAATATGTCTTAATTATATTAAGATAAAATTATTACATTTGACACTATAAAAGGATTTTTTGAAATTAAAAAATAATCATCACTTAGATTTAGAATAAGTGATTTAAGTGTACATGGGATAAGGATTATGAGTTTGAAATTATTCTTATAACTTCTTGATTTTTCTCTTAACGAATCTTTTTTTGTTGTTGTGTCCGCAGACGTGGGTCGTCAAAATACCGAATCACATAAATTATTATGTTCTTATAAATGTGTTTGCTTTTTTTTTATTCTATTAATTGGGTAAAATCTTAAATTACTCTTTATAAATAATTTCATAATTTTCACAACACATTTATATTTCTCTCTCTACCTATCTTTTGCCTCTCTCCTTCTCACTGGAAATTCCCTCCACCACTGGAGGGTAGCAAAGGGTGACAATGGCGAAGGTAGCATCGGTGTTGGCCGTGAGAAAGTGTTCCACGGCTAGATCCAATCGAGACAGTGCTGAATCTAGTGTCCATCATTGTATCTGGTCAAATTTGGCCACTGGAAGCGTCAGATCAACACTCCATTATGCCGATCACATTATTGGTGGGCCACCAACTAAGAAGAAAGAAAAGGAAAAAATTGAAAATACTAAAATAAAAAAACTTTTAAAAAAATTAAAAAAATATTTTAAATTTTAAAAAATAAAATAAGTGATCTTATATAAGTTTTAATTAAAAAATTATTAATATTTTCAATAAATCATAAAAATAAATATTTAAATTAAAAATTATATATTATAATAAAATATATTTTTATCTTTTTATCACCTATTCTTTTACTATTCTAAAGTTATTTTTACAAATCAAATATGAGAATAAATTATAATAACAATTCTTACTTTATTCTATTCTATATATGAACCAAATTGTATAATGATTATTTATATCTTATTTTATTTTCATAAAAATAGTTATTTTATTTTTTATTGAACTACCATTCCTCACTTACCCATGTCAAGTTGTGAACTGCACAATAAGTCTATAAATAATAATATTATTACTTAAAGATTTTTTGACATAATTACGTCAATATGAACTGGAGCCCCAAGAAAAAGATGATTGGTTCTATATTTGCTAGGTGTGTAGCTCGTCTTACATACTTAGAAGATTTTTTTTTTTAATAATTAGAGAGGGGAGGATCAAACTTTACTCTTTAAACATAGATATAATACATCAATCAATGAACTAAATATTCAAATGTATTTGAAAGAGTATTTTACGTTAGTTTAATTATTAAAAATTAATCAAAAAAATTTATATTAATTTGTATAATTATGAAAAGATATTCGAATTTTTTCAAGATCCGAATCCAAAACTTGTAAATTAAAATTTCAAAACTTTAATCATGAGATATTATCTCGGGAATTATTATGGATAAGATAATATCGATACTATCTTTCTAAATAATAAGTTTTACCAAAGTCCATAACAACATTGGCCGCTGGGCCTTGAAGTGGCATGTACTGCATAGAAACTTTTATTCCGAAGCAATCATCTGTTGATAAAATGGGTTTGATGGCCTTACTTTTTCGCAGCTCGTAGGTCCATCCCTCTCTTCTTCGGCTGGAAACTTCTCTCGGCCCCAATCCAAAGTTACAAGCATGGTGCGTGCACTTTTTGGCAACCATGGCTGCATCCCAGATGTCACTTTCTTTGCCGAGTGTTTGAAGTTTAAAACCTGCTTTTTATCTTTTATTCATGCATGAAAGAACGTAAACATTTGCATAACATAATACATTTTTTTGTTTTTTTTAATGTATATTTTGATTATTTTCTATTTAATTAAAGTTTTTATTTTATGAAAATTAATATAAAATTTTGGATTTTAATGTAGCAAAAAGAGTAATTTGGATTTAGACGTCACAAACTCTCAAAACAGTGAATATATTTCGAGGAGAAGTGGAGATAAGCATGGAGAGCAAAGCCCTTGGCAAGTTGCCTAATTCTTTATTAGTTTGGGTCAGCTGAAATGGCTTGCCCGGACACACACCTTCCTTCTACACACCTCTTTACCCGCTGCCCGAAACCTGCTGGCACCAGGCCAAAATGTTGCCCTAGAAACAGTTTCCTCCCTATTATAAAAGCATGCTTATTCTAACTCTCATCTCCAGTGCCTCCTCTCTCCTCACCAACCTTTGCTTGCCTTTCTGTTCTTTGTTTTTACCATGTTTCAGGTTTATTTTCTGGGGAGGGTTCATTATGTTTGGTTGGAAGACATATCCTTTGTTGTTCTTATACTTTAGTTTTTGAGAAGAAAATCATGGGCTTTTGACTGTTTAAAACATGGGTTTAAGGTTTTTTCCCCCAAAAGATGATGGGTTTAAGGATTGAAGTGGTAGGATTGCTGTGTTGGGTGAGTTTAGAGATGGCTCGTTTGATCTTTTGATGTTTTGTCTTTGGGATTGTGTTAAAGTGCAAAAAACTTCCATCCGCATGTGATTACCAAAAGGTGAGCAAAGCGGCCATATTTTGCACAGATTGACTAAACAAAAAGTAGTAATCTTACTACTTTTGCTATTTCTAAATGGGTTGTGTCTACTTCTTTACAGATACATAAACCCTTTTGGATTTGGTAGCAAATATCTCAATTTTTCAATCAAAAGAACTTACTTCTAAAAAATATTTCAATTTTCCTCTCATGTTTGACCTGTTTTGATGTGCCAAAAAGAAGAAAATAAGAAAACCCTTTCTTGTTGGTCCCTTGCCAGGAAGGAATATTCAAAGGAATGCTTCTATTTTTGTTAAGTAGATTAAAGTAATTGATGGTGGGGCAAAGGGCAATTTTTCCATGTGTTTGGCATTAAAGAAGAGGATTCATTGTGCTTAATTGCCTAAAAACCCAGAATTGGAAGAGAATCCACCAAGAAATGGAAAAATGTAAAAATGTTGGATTTATCTATTCACCAATTGAATTTTTTAAAAAAATTTAAAATTATTCATTAATGAGAACAATTATTTCCAGAATAAGATGATTTTATCCTGTTATTTTTTAATTTAAAAATAATATTTCAAAGTCCTTTCCTAAGAGATCATCCTACTTTCTATGCAGAAACAACTCACATTTACAAAAAGGCATCTCAACCCCAAAAAATCAGTATGAAGAGAACCAAGACAATAGGATTGGTAAGAACAGGATACTCCAAAAAAATTCCCTGTCCCTATAGACAGGGTACTTTCCATTCACCAATTGAATTAATAGCAGTTAGACAGAAGGGTATTGCTGTTTGTTGCTTAGAAGCCAAAATGTTGTTTAAAAATGGTCATATACAGCTAGGATGACAAGGCAAAAGGAATGAAGATTTTGGTAGAGATTGAAACGTGCAAATCTTTGCATGTAGATCAAAAAATGTAGGGTCTTTTTTAAAAACACTCTTCATACATTAAGTATTTTTGAAAATAATTCTCTTTATAATTTTAATTATTTTTAGTTAAGAGAAATTAATTTTAGATAAAATTATTTTTAATGAAATCGATTTATATATTTAGATTCATATCTCAAACTAATTCATATCTTTTAAACTTTTTTGGTGAAACTATTCATTTTTGGAATATTTCTTACCAAAAAGAAAAACCTTTAAGGATTTTGAGTATCTTAGAATGGTTTTTTATACAAAAAAAAATTGAAAGTTTTGAGCATTTTTAAGCATTTTGGAATAGCTATTGATACATAAAGAAACACCTTTGAGCATTTTGAACATTTTTCATCATGTAGGCATATTTGTTAATTATTTTGTTAAATAAAATATGATGTATTGTTCGAAATTATTGATTTTGTTAAATGAAATTCAGTAATTTTAATAACTTTTAGGTATTGCGTAACTTGATTTTGCACATTGTGTGATTGATTTTTAAATATTACGTGATAGCATTGTGTGACTAGTGATAGGCATTGCATAACTGATTAGTAAGTCATTACATGACTAGCGTTTAGGCATTATGTGACTTAAACATTGCCTAAAAATCAATTTCGTAATATTTAAAAATCAGTGACATAATGCTTAAAAATTAAAAATACAATACCTAATAACTAATTATTTTGTCTGCTTACAGCCAAGTCTAAGTTGTCAAAGTCATATAATGTTTTAATTTACAGATATGTCTAATTAATTTCAACCTCTCAACTTTGAGATTATATAAATAAACTAATAAATCCAATAATCTAAAACATATACATTGGTTCCATCTTTACTCTTTGAGATGACGAGAAAGAATTAATTGACTAGATAAACAAATCTGGTAAGAGAGAGAAATTAAGATTTAATTTTAAAATT